CTGTGACCAGTGCAGGACAAGTACCAAAATCTCTCAGTGCTTCAGTGCTTACCTCTACAGTAAAAAATGCTGCCTTTCTATAAGATGCAAGTGCACCTGTGACCATCTGTGTGTTTCTGGGATACATGTTCACGTTTGTTACGGGTTAGACCTGAAAACAGGAATACAGCAGTCACATCCCTAAACCCGGCCAGATGTCCCCAGTTCCTGTGGCAGTGGGCTGGACTCCAGCAGCCAGGCAGGATGTTCTGGGCCAGAGTAGTTGGAAATATATCCTATGAAATACAAATCCCCATGTATAATACATAAGAAATTCTGAGTCCACTAAAATCAGCGACAGAGATCCTATCACACGGCTTGAACCAGGATTTTACCACTCACGTATTTTCCATTAATTTAAAATCTACAAATCCACACAGAATTAATAGAGAATAAAACAATCCAGATTTAAATGGATATGAGTTATTTTTTATCAAGTAAGACAGTGGTCTTTTTTGACTACTAGCCAGCCGGTCAATTGTTTATTGATTCACAAAGTAAATGCCAGCTTCAGCTTGGTAAGTACTGAATGCCCCAAGATCCTGGCAAGCAAGTCACACCTGGCAGATTTTCAATCTTGCCAAATCAGGCAAGTGAGAAAACAAACACTAAGCCTACTTTTTCCCAAGTACTAACTAGATTTTTTAGGAAGTGTAAGGTGTTATTATAAATTATAAGCCTTAATCTAGCATGTTCAAAATAGAGTTGCAACTAGAGCTATGTGGCTGGACTGCCAAATACTCATTCCGTTTCCATTTGAGGGCAGTGAGAAAATCTTTTTTTCCTAAGTGTCAATAAATTTGTGGTCAACTCTATAAATAAGCACCAAATAGATTTTGTGGGATGGTTCGATTTCCATTAGGTTCCATCTTCAAATATTAGTAGTCTGATTACCTTGTTTTTAATTCCAACAAATGGCAGCTGCTATGAAATGTAACTTGTGGGAGTGCTGGACTTTAAATGAAAAATTAACCGCAGATGAAACCCTAACAGCAGTTTTCTGCTTTTAGGTGACATTCAAAGCTGCGTTCCAGCAAGCATCATTTTAGCTGCACTGCTGTAACAGGGACTAAAACTGTTATTCAGGTTTCCTGAAAATAGCAATACAAAGCATTTTAAATAGCTTGACTCTTTATCTTCAGAAAATTTGCCGGAATGTAATTAGATTAACTTAGAAAAAGCCTAAGCATTATTTCTGTCTTTTGGAAAGATGCAGGATTAAAAAACAGACTAATTATTCTCAAAATGGATCTGTGCAATTTCTGCTGCAACCTCTAAATCAAAATAAATGAATGTTTAAGGAAAAAAGAGCATTGAAAATCTACATGGAAGGCACACTAAAATGAAGATCTTTAACATGGTGTTTATTAACTGCATTAAAAAATAGTTATATTAAATAGAGAAAAGGTATTTCCATCACTTTTAATCATGTGTCTTTAAAGATGACATGCAGTATTCAATTTAACTTATTACAAAAATACCAGTATGTGCAATATATATTTCTCAACATATACTGGTTTACCTGTAAAAGTTTAAAATATGTATTCTGAAATCTGTTAAATTACAATGGCTCTGCTCCAGTGAAGTACTTTAATGGCTTAACTACCATAACTACAGAAGATCCCTGCATGCATTACTGTCAAGCTAATTTATTTGAATATTTCATATTAGGTAAATCCAGAACAAATAGTTAGCACCTTCAAGACCCAGGCACAGTATTTTCACATCTCCCTTGGATCACCATTTGGGTAAAAGTGTGGTTTTACACTGGAAGTGGCTATGTAAAAATCTGAATAATATTTTTCCTTTGTGTTTCAGATTGAATGATATGAATTACTTTTGACCTCTCAAGTCTGCAGGTAGTGCTGTGAAGAGGAACATCTGCAAATTATTCTCTTTCCTTTTTTTTTTCGTGTCCAACATAAACAGAATTATTTGGTACATTTCAGTGGTACTGCAGATCCAACACAATTGGCCAGAGAGTCTTCACATCTTGAGTTCCTGAAGTGGGTAATGCTATCATACGGAAGAAATATCAGCAACAGGAAGCTTTCTGATTTCTTTTTCTCACATCAGTCTTCCCTGGTTGGAAACAGAGTTTGCATATATCAATGGATATAAAATCTGAAGTATGAAGCAATTTTGCTGATTACATATATATACATTTGTATGTATACAAATATATATGCAAGCTTGATGATAGAAACAGTGTTATTCAGGTCATGAAGCTTAATTTTTGTTTCATTTGGGAAAAAAACAATTACTGTGTCCAAAATAATTCATTCAGAGATTGATGGTTTTTAAATGGATTAATTCATTCTATACAAGTAGGGGATAAAGACCATATTGGAGAAAATTTAAATTCAGTTCAATCTTTCATACATTTACACCTTTATGACAGAACTGGATCTCAGTAGATGGGTTAAGTCTGTATTCAAACTAATTTATACCAGAAATTCTGTAATCACTGTGATTTTGTTTGTTTGTTCTCAAGAAAGGAAATGGGGAAGACATATATAATTTGAAAGTGGTTTTTTACATAACATTGTAAGATTTTGTGTGCACTGGTTGTTAGGTGCATAAAACTGAATGTGAGCCCTTCATTTTTGCTATTTAGATCACTTTTTTTGTATCTATTTTCTGTGGCAAGCAGAAGGAAAAGGAGTGTGAAAAACATTTATTCCTTTTCTATCAAATTTCTCTATCTTGAAGCAAGCAAAATGCTAAAACAAAAATTAAAACCAGAAGAGCTATAAACCAGAAAAACTATAGAACTATAAAATAAAAAAAAATATGATTGTCACAGGCAAGATCTATTTAAGTACTCTAAAAGCTAAAAGTAACGACTTTTTCATTCTGAAAATTAGGCAAGATAGTGTAGTGGTGCTGTTAAAATGACATGTTTTGCACAACAGTTCAAATTTTGAATCTCAGGAGATACATGGTATTTCTATTGCTTATGTGCACAGGGATACCTCCCAGTCAGAGAATAGAAAAACTCTGTATCGCAGACAGAATTGGACATATGCCTATTAAAGACTTGAATAATACATGCGAAATTAATATTAGAAATCCAACACTGGAAAGATAAGAAGACTTGTCTGAGCCATATGATCTGTTAAACACTGCATCACTTCTTATAGAGTACACTTTAGTAAGTTGGGATCAAGCTGCCACACAGCTGGGTGGAGGACAGACTTCAGACATCTAACTTCCAGTTATGAATCCCTCTCTTAAGAAATCTGGTTTGGATAACAAGAATAGTAATTCTTCCTGCAGCCAGGTGAGAAACGTATAATCAAAGTACACAGTTTGGAGTTTTGTGGGTTTTTTTCGTTTATTTGCTTTTATTTTATTGCCATCTCTGTTACATATATTTCTAGATCTTAGTTTTCCTGTACAAGATGTACATCTTGTGGTAAGTTCTCAGAGTAATGGAGTTCTTTAATTTATTTTTTTATTTTCAGTCTTAAAATACAATCAGTATCACATATGCAGAAACTGGATGAACATAACTGGATCAAAACATGATTCACTGCATTAATAGCATGCTTCTGGGCATTACAGCAGTATCTTGGAAATTTAAATGTATTCAATCAACCCTACCAACAGTCAAAATAGATTTTCAGTCTAAACCGTGTTACTGTGATACTCCACAGTTACAAGAGTCTTAAAGACAGATTAAAAATGAGAAATTTGAAAACTGTTTTTCCATGTTTTATCAACAAACCTACAGTAGTCTCTATGAAAACTGTTATGCCCTACCTTGTGTGTACAAAAACCAAACTTTGCCATATTTAACTGCAACATTCCAGATTGATGCTGGTATAACATGAGAACAGTATTTTACTCTTTAAGGAGCCCTAGTAGGGCAGATGTTCTTATTTCAGAATAATATATTGGAGGAAAGTTATCTACTCATTGGTTTTTATACTTACAGATGATGATTTTTGTATTAGTTCTGCTCTTTTTATTAGATCTGCCTAAGATGCAGATAATTTTCCCCACAGCAGCTCTCATAGGGCTGTGCTTTGCATTGGTAGCTAAAAAGGTGCTGATAACTGTCGCTGTTGTGACAGTCAAGAAAGACACAAGCAGTCTAGTTCAGAGCAGTATACAGCTGGTCTGTTGGCTCCCTAGCCCCCTTGGATGAGGATGTCGACCTTGCAAACTTTCGAGTGTATCCTTGAGATAAGAAAGTCATGTACGCAACCCTGAAGAAGGAACAGTCTTGGCATAACAAAGTGATCCACAAGGAGTATTCGCCCCTTCCCGCTGTAATTTCCAAACCAAAGGATGTGCTTGTTTTATTATTACACCTGTACCATGTTTTTTTTTAATCTCAGACAGAAATCCAAGCTGTCAGGTGAATTTTCCGTTGAACAGCAGCGTCTCTCCAACATTCCTGCTGAAGTTCCAACTTGGAAAACTTTACTGCTGTTAATCACCAGCAAATTTGAGTGACATACCTGGAAAATGCATCCACAGCCTTATATTGTCTATTAAATTAATTGCAAAAGCCATGTTGTCTTCAGTGGATGGAAAATGAGCTCCTGGATTGTGCTCTAAGGGTGTCAAAGTATCCCTTGACCCCCTCTTGCCTTCACTGCTCATTAAATGGTTGAATAACCCCAATTAATGCCACTAATAATTGATCACATGAACTTATTGCCACTAATATTTCCTCTAAGAACAGGAAGAGACCACTTCAAGAAACAACAAGTAATTGTCCTTCCCTTTGTCAGAGCTCAACAAAAGTGCTGGTGATTATTTTTCAACATTATTAAACACATTATTTCATTAAAATTAAATAATCTGGGGAAACTGCAGGAAGATTAAATATGATGTAAAGGCTTTCTGGCCAAACAAACATTACTCTTAACTTATTAATGCTATTTTATCATATAAACAGTGCTTTTTAAGGCTACACTTAATATAGTCTTGAATGAGTCCCCCGTTGCCACGTTCGGGGGGCTCGGCAGGTGCTTTGAGGAGGATCCCTTCTTCAGGAATCCCTTTGCTGGCCACCACGAGCACATGAGGCAGATGATGAGGAGCTTCTCAGAGCCCTTTGGGAGGGAGCCATTGCTGAGCCTGCTGGAGGGCAGGGACAGAGCAGACAGAGCGCTGCAGCGGAGAGCGTGTCCAGACTCCTGGCTGGCTCCTGGGGGGAACCGCAGAGATGCAGATTTTGGGGATCCATTTTCTGCCATGGACAGGATGATGTCAAACATGAGGAACAGTATGCTGGAAATGCACAGGAAATTTGATGACCTGTCCACGTACCCCGATGGACACACGTTCAGCTCCTCCTCCATGATGACTTATTCCAAAGTGGAGGATGAACCTCCAAAGGTTTTCCAAGCCTCGGTCCAGATTCGCACAGCCCCGGGAGGTGTTAAGGAGACAAGAAAAGCACTTAAGGACTCTGAAAGTGGCCTGGAACAAATGGCCGTTGGCCATCACATCCAGGGTTGGGCTCATGTTATCAAAAACTCCAAGAACTGCAAGACTGGGGATGAGGAGATGAACCAAGAGTTCATCAACCTGGATGAAAATGAGGCCCAGAGCTTTGATGAGGAGTAGCAGAAGGAGGTCTTGAAGTTCAAGCCAGAACTAGAAGCTCTTTAGAAGCTCCAAAATACAGAAGTATCAATTACAAGGAGAATGGATCAAGAAGAGAGAAGCTACTTGGAACTGAAGATTCCAGAGTGTCCAAAGATTCCTTGGAGTCTCTCAGTGTGAAAGGAACACATGTCCCCCTCAACAAAAGCAGCAGGAAATGTGGCCCCATTCCCCTGAGATGGAGTTTCTCCAGAGCAGATAATGGTGCTCATGTCCATACAAATACACAGGACACATGACCAATCTCTGTGTTGTGCCTTTGCTCCTCCTGAATGTTCCTCAACCTTCAGCTCCTCAGTTAAACCCTCTCCTTTCAGTGAACTAAAAACCCAACCACTTTCTCCCTGAAAGCACTTTATGTATTATCACCAATTCTGTTTAAAAAATAATTGATTTGCAAAGTTTTTCTGCTACAACTGCACCGGTCTCACACTTTGTCAAGCCTGGCAGTGTAGCTACTTTTTCCCACTCTATAAGTTGCACAGAAAATAAATTCTCTTCAGTTTGTGTGGCTGAAATGATTTTTAGATGATACTTAATAGGAATTCAAATGCATTAGAGCCAACAGACCAGCTGTGCACCCTCACAGATAAACACCAACGCTCTGACTACAGCTGAGCAGTGCTGGCACAGCATCAGCTCTGTCTCTCCAATATTCCCCCCTCACAAGTAGGATGGGGCTGGTCCAAATCCTGGGAGCAGACATAACCAGGACAGCTGACCCAAACTGACCAAAGGGATATTCCATACCATGTGATGCCTTCTCAGGTATAAAAGCTAAGAGAAAGGAAGAAAATGGCAAGGGGAGAATGGGGGCGGGGAGCATTATTTACATTTACCTTCTGTAGCAACAACTACTTGTGCCAAAGCCCAGCTTCCAAACAGGTGGCAACATCGCTTGCTGATGGGAAATATAAAATAAATCTTTTGATTTTTTTCCTTTGCTCGCATGCACATGACCCTCATTTTTGCTTTAGTAAGCTGCCTTTATCTTGATCTGCAAGGGCTTTTTCCCACCTTATTTTCTCTCTCTCTGGCCCCTATCCTGTAGAGGAGGGAAGTGATAGAATGGCTTGGTGGGCATGTAGCATTCAGCCATGGTCAACACACCACAGTCTTAAAAATCTGTTAATATTTGATAATGACAGGATTTTTTGAATTACAAATTTTATCATATCAGCTTTTGAAAATACTACTTCCTGTTACTGAAAAGAATGAAGGCAGAAATATATTCGTTTGAGGGTACTCCTTTCTCTAGTCTCTTAAATGTTTACTTGACTTTTGTTTCAATGCAATATGAGTAACACTGGAAAGATTCACTGTGGCTGAAGTGAAATAACAATATTTTTATCCCTAAAAAGAAACTCAAAATTTCACTGTCCTAAATAACAATGAAAGGACAAGGTTAAAAAAAAAATAAAATGAGGTAAAAAATGAAGTATTAAAAATCTTTTGCAAAGAAAATTCCAAAAAGAGATGTAATTATTTATTTATGTATCAAACCTGAATCTTGTATGAATATGTTTTTACCTAGTTGATGAAAAGTTATTGTGAAATCAAAAGAATGCCAAATTTCAGGGGTAATACCTGTGTGGTAATCATAAGGAATTTAAATACTGTATTCATAGATATTCAAAGTTTCAAGGACCACGGGACTGAAATATGAGACCAACAAAATCTTGATGATAGTATAAAGTTCATGGGGTAGAAAGAGCTCCTTGCTCAGCATTTTGTTGGAGGGTAATGTACTCGGTATATAACAGTGCATCCCTTATTACTATGGATATATATCAGCAGTTTTTCACAGAGACTGAAGTAAGAGAATAATTAAATTGTTAATGTACACAAATACAAATGTGTATAAATATTTAATGTTCATATTGATACATTAGTCAGTATAATGATGATGATATATTAATTATTGCTTTAATTTCTTTACTGACTACTATTTACTATGAAAAGTTTAATTGTTACAGATGATGGTCTCTTCTGTTTAATTCTTAATTCTCTCTTCCTTTCTCTGTCTTGCAATCAAGTGTTTTCATTTATTAAATTGTATCTTACAAATAGATTCAATCATCTCATCAAAATATATTCCCAATTTAAACTCATCACGGCAAAGCACTGTGCATACATGATCAGCAGTATTCCTCACCATTTAGTACGTGAGTGGATACAGCTATCATATTCATAATGATCCACAGTCAATGACTTTGACTATGCAAGTAACGCTAAATTAAATAATTTATATTTCAGTTTCCTGAAATACAGAGAAAAAAAGATGGAAAAACTTAATATCTGGAGGATAATAGGAGCAGATGTCTGATAGAATGCTTCTTCTATAAATAACTAAAGACACCATACGGAATGACAAAATTTGGGATGTTCTTCTTTGCTTCCACCTTATATTGGAGAATTTATGTTATTTACAGAGATGAGGTATTTGCACTTATTTTTATTCTATATCTATTCTTTCATATTATTCATTTTTCAGTGTAAATTAGACTAAACTAGATAGCTCCCTGGGATATACTAGTCATCAGAAACTAGTCATCATAAAAACTCCAATGACAATGCATTGAGGTTTTTGCGGTAGAAATTGCATGCTGTTGACACTTCTCCCGTGCATTTCATGTGCTTTCTCAGTCATTCTGTTAGCACAGAGAAGCTAACTTTATCGTAAAGTTTTTATTTGGTTTTTAGCTGCCTTTCCTTTAAATTCAGAAGAGACTGGACTTTCTTCTGGTCTGAGAGTGGTAGAAACCAAGCTTAGTCCAGCTTCAGGAGCTAGCATCAGCAAATACTAATGAGGCACTGCTGGCCACATTGGCCAGTGCTGCCTTGCAAGAGGGAATTTCCCTGTTAAAAGAGGAATGGATCAAACTGAGAGCACAAGAAATTGGCATCTGGAATAGAGAAAGGTGAGAGTAAAAGAAAATGTCTGAAGTGCAGAACAGGGCCTTTTGCACAGTCTTCAAGTTTTTACGTTATTTTGTCTTCTGAATTGTCACTGCAAAGTCCCTTTTTAAACGTATCATGTAATTACATTTTTGACTATATGAGTATTTGGAAACATCAGCTGAAAGACCATTCCAGGTAGACCAGCCAACACCGAAACTCTAAATTCCTCTTTTTCACATCACAAAATCTGGACACAGTTCAGGACATTTGGTGATCTCTGCTCAACACATGACCAAGAAAAGATAGCAGGCTGGTCACAAGTGCTGTGAATTCACATAGACCTGTCACAAACTTGGATGGTGGTTGTCTCTGTTACACATGACCCAGATTAGTGCTGTTTTCCCATTGCTTTTGGGAGAGCGCATTTACTCAAGAGTAACTTACAAAACTCTGTAGTGCAGTACTGCGTATGCATGTAGTTTGTCTGTAGCTGGCTTAAATGTTATTGTGATGTATCTCTTATAATTTATATCTGATACTTCAGACTGTTATGAAACACAACGCAACCTGTAAATCTGAAAGACAGATTCACAGAATGAATATTATTTTCAATATCAGTAATGATAATATGAGGACAAGTTGATCAAAAGGCCTATTTTCCACTGTTAAAAAAAAAAATCCAGAATCCTTGTGGAGAGTAAGGAGGAAAAAAAATGTTCAGTTCAGAACAAGAACCAGGAGTTTTCAGGGAAATACTAAATTGACACAGAAATACCATGATGATTTGGAGTCTTTTAGTTTGGTTCGCGCCCCTCCCCCCCCGCCCTCCCCCATTTCTGAAAAGTTGTGTTATGGGGAAGTTATTCAAATGAAATTGTGCCAGGAAACTTTCACTTTCAAGATCCATATATCTGTATCTGACTTTCTGCTTTTTTATTCTGAGCTCTTCATAGCAAACTGCTCATAGTAAATATTGATCTTATCGAGCTACACTTCTTAGTTTGAATTCTTACACTTTTTTCTTTGGAAGGGGGGAAGATTGGGAAGAACTTTCTTTAATCCTTATAGAATCATACTTATATAGAATTCAATTTTTTTTCGTTATATTCTTACATGTCATATTTGGATAATTCTTTACAAGAGTCAAACAAGGAAATTATATCCAAATTTGTTCTTCCTTATATACATAAAAATTCTGAGTCTTTAAAAAGCGTATACATTTCAGGTAATACTTCAGAAATTAAATCAAATTAAAAAACTAAATATTGCTTATATTAGAAAATTCTATATAATTTCTCCCCATAGGGCTTATCTGTATCTCTGCCTCCCAAGATTTATCCACACAAACACAATAGTTTTTTGGACAACTATTTCTCCCTTTCTGCTGAGATGTTTTATATCACTTTTTTTTTTTTCTCTTTTTTATTAGTGGGAAGCAATACCATCCAGAGTGTCCCTGACAGGCTTGAGGAGTAGGCCCATTTGAACTCAATGAAATTCAACGAGGCCAAGTGCAAGGTCCTGCATCTGGGTCAGTGCAACCCCAGTATCAGGACAAACTGCTGGACAAACTAAGAGCAGCTGCCCTGCGAAGCACTTTTGGATATTGTTTGGTGAAAACTGGACATGAGCTGACAATGTGTGCTTGCAGCCCATAATAACAATAGTATCTTGGACCTCATGGCCAGTAGATTGAAGGAGGTGATTTTTGTCCTCTTCTATGCTCTCATGAGATCACACGTGGAGCACTGTATCAGCTCCGAGCCCTCTGTACAAGATGTGGACCTGCTGGAGCAGGTCCAGAGGAGGACCACAAAAATGGTCAGAAGGCAGGAGCATCTCTCCTACGAAGACAAACTGTGAGATCCAAGTTGTTCAGCCTGAAGAGGAGAAGGCTTCTAATAGTGGCCTTTCAACATATAAAAGGAGCTTATAAGAAAGGAGATAGACTTTTTACCAAGGCCTTTAGTGACAAGGTCAATGTTTTTAAACTGAGAGTAAATTGAAATTGGACATAAGGAAGAAATTCTTTAAGATGAGGGTGGAAAAAAGCTGGAACAAGTTGTCCAGAGAGGTTGAATACCTGAATCTTTTATATTTTTATCAAGTTGGCGAAAAGTTATTGGGAATTCAAAGATGTCCCATCTTTGGAAGTCGGCTTGGATGGGGTTTTGAGCAACCTGATCAAGCAAAAGATGTCTCTGCCTATGTTAAGGGGACTGGGCAAGATGATCATTATAGATCTCTTCTAACCCTTCAAATTCAAACCATTCAATGATCCCATCAAAAATTTAATGAATGGACAGCTAGAAAGTAAGGCACTTTCAGCGTTTTTTCAAGACTATCAGTTTTTGCTTTATTCTTTAAGACATATTGTAAAAGACGTATTGATAAAAATAAACTTTAAAATAACTTTAAAACTATTAGAACTGAATGACTAACAACAGAGTCAGCAGGCTCCCACAAAGTTTTCAAGCCCTGAAATATGTTATAATATTAAAAGCAAAGCTAAACCTATCACCCAGTGAAATAAAGGGAGGCAGGTCAATATATGGATTCGTGTTGGGTTTTTTTTCCAGAAAACATACATTGTATAGAAATACATCTGCATCAGCTTTCAAATGCTTACACAGCATTACCTCACTGACATATACTCAAAGATTTATCTGCTTTATTTGTACAGATAACCATTACATATTTTGTGATGGAAGACCACATTACTTGATACATATATGCAGCATAAGAGGTTGTTGCATTTACATTTTTATCTAATAGGTTATGCTGGACCAGAAATTTAGAGTTTAGGTTTACACACTTTTTTATTTGGTAATGTAAGATGAATCAAAGAGGTAAATGCACACGTGCCTATCTCAAATAGGTGATATAGGAATGATAGACGAGCAGTATTTTCTGTTTCTGCCTAGCTAGAGCAGCTGTGTCAAGTTCCTCTGCACTTCTC